AGTGGGCAGCATTACTCGTCTGCCCAGATCTCCACATATCACGATTTGGGAACTTATAACTTAGTTCATTAAAGACAGAGCACAATTTTACTGATCTTCTGTTCTTTCTCAGGACTGCAAGTACAGTAAGAGTAAATACAGTCATGCTGTTTTCACCAGATAAGAACAATAGATACTGAAATAAAAGTAGATTTGGTGTGAGTTGCCTGTTAATAATATAGGCCACATGTTCTAGTATTACAATTCTGTGAAAAATCTATATTCTTCCCACACATTATAGGTTTACACATCTGCTGGGGAAGTGGAGCCAATTTAAACCCTTGCTGATGTGACTAATAAGGTTAGATAATTGGATTTCTGGCAGATTAGTTAAACAGCAGCCAACCATTCAATTCTAAGGTCTCTTTGCAAGCAAAGCAGAACAATAACTGGCAGTTGCATGTACATAATGCGCACACACACACACACACACACACCCACACACCCACACAGAGTAAGAAAGCCTACCTAGATACTGGTAATATTTCTTGAAGAAAGTATGACTACCTTTCTCACAATGCATAAATCTGTTTTTGTTATTGGGAGCAGGTTACTCACCATAAACAGTAAACAGCAAACCAGCAATGGTCTGCATGACAAGACAGGAAAACCTCGGTCTGCTCAGCTTAAGAAAGCATTAGGGAGCTGGAGCTGGCTGCCTTCTTCTCCAGGCCAGAGTCAGCCCCAACACTGGCTTAAGGCCCTGAATGCACTCTGCGCTAGTGGAATAGTGCCAAGGCAGTGCAGGGCTCTGCAACACCCAGACATCTTGGTGGAGGGGAAAAGAGGCAAAGGGTCTGGCTGCTGTGTAGCTGTACCAGTGAGAACTTCCTCTACCTTGAGGGAATTCTCTACTGGCCATATGCAATTGCCTTTCAGACCCTTTGGGGTACAATCTAAATAGAGGACCAACCTACTGAGTTGGATGTTGAACATGAAAGAATCTTTTTGGTGAGGTATAAGGTGGCACACACGTACCGAAAGTTGAAGTTAGACAGGGGTATTTTAAAACTCATACTCACTGATTAAACAATGTGGCTATGTCACATTCTATGCCAAATATAGTCTAAGGTCTTGCTTAAATGCTGGTTTTTAACACCAGCACACAGATGTGAACACAGTGATGTGCCTTGCAAAGTACAGATCTCTAGCATTTATATGTGAAACTATGAACCGACAGATTGGATATTTTCTGTTAGATATAAATATGCATTCCGAATGTACTGTACAAGGGGTTTAGTGCTTCTGTGTATGTTATGATAATGTTGTATTCATAATGAAGCAAGTTGTTGTGACACAAGGATATAAATATATGGAATATTTCTATCTAAAATCCAAAACATCTGTGGTTTAAGCATGAGGCATATTTCTTCTCAAAAAGGGAAGAAAGTTTACATTAAATATTTAAGTTGTTCATCTATTAAAATCACCAGACTATTCTATGCAAAGAAATATAGGGCCATAAATTAAACTATGCCATCCTTATATAGTTCATGATCCATACAGTTACACAAATAAAAAAACAACAAGTAACAAAAGTAAGCATCTGATATGAGACTGTGTAACTGGTATCTCATTGAGCACTTCAGGTTTTTATTTTGTTACTTTTTATTATGGCAAAGTTACACACAACGTTAACATACTACACCGTACGTTACTTATTACTGCAATAATATCAGAGATAAATATAAAAACTGATTATTGAAATTGAATTGAATCAAAATACTGATCAAAAGTTCCTCTTTCATTGCAATGCAACTGAAAATTAATACAGCTAGTCATGTTTTATATGTTTAACTCATTCCTTGTAGGCATTCATTTCTTTTGGCTACAGATATGTTAGAAGCTTGTTATGAATACTAACTTATGAAAAATAAGTCCTGCACAGAATTAGATTAGTTCCCATCCAATGACCACCCTGCACCTTTAAGCAGAGGGTGGGGGGCATATTTGGCTGGCTGGCCGAGTGAAGGGAACAGTGCTTTATGGAGGGGCGAAGATGAAAACTGTTGCAAAAGGGGTCAGTGTGGTTGCTGAATCATCCCCTAGGAATGCAGGGCTTAAAAGGGGCAGCCCTGGGCCTGAAGCCTCCCTTTTACACAGAGCAGTCTGAAGCAGGATGAAAAAGAGGGGGCGCTGGCGAAAGCCCTCCAGGGAATTACAGAATAAACATGGGGTTACCTGCACTGTACACTTTTATCTGCCGGGTAGTCCCAGACATCTAATAATACAGTTGCGGCCTGATTAAACCCATGTCAAATGTCTCCTGTCCTTCTTTCGGTATAGCCAGACAAGAAACACAAACCTCAATTTAAATGAACAAATGGTTAAAAAAAAACTTAGAGCTTCAGAACTAGAGCTGGGCAAATAAAGGATTTATAATTTGCTGGAAACTCTGATAAGTCAGGTCAAACCAAAAATTTATTCTAAGTTTTTTTTGTGAATCAGAAAGTTGAAAAAAAAATAGCATCAGGTCGAATAAAATGTTTTCAAAATGAAACATCTGGTTAGGATTTTGAGTATATTTTAAAACATTTTACAATTAAAAACAATTTAAAAAAAAGGAAATTTCAAACGAAAGTTGTTTCAAGTAAAAAATCAAAATATTTAATTTTAAAAATGAATATTTAATTTTTTTTCAGTTTTTTCTTTTAGTTTTTTTCTCTCAATTGAAAGAATTTAGCAAAATCAACACAAATTCATGAAATGTTTCAGTGTCGTCGCTACAGCTGCATTTTTTTACCCCAAAAAGTTTTGGTCAAAAAATGTTGTCCATTTTGATTCAGAACACATTGCCAAATTCATAGGGATAGATCCCCAGCTGACATAAATTGCCATACCTCCACTGACTTCCATGAAACTGTGCCGATTTACACCAGCTGAGGACCTGGGCCACAGGAATCTAAGTTCTTTTGCTCAATATTGAAAGTACTGCTAATCTTCACGTTTTCTCATATAAAAACAATACTTTGATCTCAAAAATACTTGCCTCTAATGCATACTCACATATTTCCCATTTAAAATATGGTTTCAAAGAACAGATCGAAGGTACAAAGAGAGGGAGTGCTGTCAAGATATTGTTTGCTATCACTGCACTAATCTCTCAAACACTGAAGATGGCAGGCCAAGATTTCACATGGTTGCAGGAAGATTTCCACCTCTGCCCCAGAGGATACAGTACTCATATACAGTATATGAGACATTATTTTGATGTCAAAATCATGGTAAAGACCATCATAATTACGAGAGAGACTAAAACAATACACTACACAGTTAATTTTTGGCTTCCTATTTTCTTTCCTACTATGTTCAAAATTTCTTAATCTAATTTAGCTCAGTAGATAGCCTCTTTTTTTGAGTGACAGTGCAGAATTAAAACATCTGCCTTTGTATTCCATTTGTAGCATAAAGAAAGGTTTCACTTGCTTTGTGAAAAACAAGTTTCAACAAAAAATAAGAGTTAAAACCATTTACACTGAACATATTACAGCCACTTAAACGTTATAGAAAACGAACTTATCTGTAATTGTACCAAATAGATGAAAAACAAAATTTAGTATTTGTAACCAGGCTACAATTGGGCTTACTCATTGTGATGCTTCCCCAGGGTATCCAGAGTCACTTCCACCTGCTCTTAGTGGAGGAAGTCTTGTCTGTGCCTGCTGTGAATCAGCTCCCTGACTCCATCAGCTTCTGGCAACACAAGCACCACCTTCCAGGCCTTGCTATCTCTGTACAGGTCAGTGATAGGCACACACCAACTCCTGAATCCTCATAGACTCTAAGGTCAGAAGGAACCATCATGATCATCTTTCTAATCTGACCTGCGCATTGCAGGTCACAGAACCTCACCCACCCACTCCTGTAATAGGCCCCCTATCCTCTGGCTGAGTTACTGAAGTCCTCAAATCATGATTTAAAGACTTCAAGTTACAGAGAATCCACCATTTACACTAGGTTAAACCTGTGTGACCCATGCTGCACGCTTGCAGAGGAAGGCGAAAACCCCCAGGGTCTCTGCCAATCTGACCTGGGGGCAAATTCCTTCCTGACCCCAAGTGTCCCTCTGAAGCGCCCATCCCCTTATCAACTGAACACTCACAGAACTCTCATATTCTCTGCTCCCAAAGGATTAGTACTCACCAGATGACTAGACTCAACTCAAGATCATCACATTGCTTAACATGCAATACTCAAGATATATTTATAATGAAAACAGGAATACGTTTATTATCAAAGAACAGACATTCAAATGATAGCAAGAACGAATACTGGAAACAAATGGTTACATGCAAAACAAAATTATAAGAAACTTTTTAGAGCCTAAACTTAACTCACAAGACATTATCCTGTCTCCTATAGGTTAGCGCACCCCAAAGTCCTTTTCCTAGAGTTTTCAACCAAGATGGCTGAGATCCTCCTTTCATAAAATCAAGTCCACTAGTAGCTTGTCTTCCAAAATGAATGATGCCAGGTGTACCGCCATACCCTTAATTATTCTTCTAAAATTCATTGTCTTTACTCAGACAGGATAATCCCTATTGTTTGTGTGTTTTCCTGCAGTGTATTCATTAGCTTTGACTCAATACGACAAAAGACTTCCATTGTAAGATACACAATACACATTCATCAACCAGGGGGATAAGTGTCTCCCACCTCTGTCTGGAGAAGTCTGTCTCAATGCATGCTACCTCTGAGCAACCTGTGTTTAGCTACAAGGATTTAAGAACATAGTTTTCAGTATACACACAACTCCTTACACATTATCTCCACATATATTTCTTAATGGCCATGATGACCAGTGTGACACATGCTTTCTTAGAGATCTTACATGACCTCTTTTGGTGAACCCTGAGGATCACTGTAATGCTATGCATCTCTGTGCCTTTTACCAGTGGGCATCAAAAGGTCCTTGGATCACATTCACAAACCTCAAATATTTGTAGCCAAACAATGCTTACCATTTGGAAGCTTCTGGTAGAATGAAACTCGCACTGCATCATGTCAAAGAATATTGGGATCGTAGCTTTCCGAAGCTCAGTTTCAGGAATCAGTGTCATTTCCAACATGGGCCCAACCATTTCTGGGATGAATTTGATCTTATGTTGACCTTTGGGGGGGGGGAAATGTACTTCAGAATTAATGAAAAGCCAACAACAGTGCTACAAGATTACCTTAAAAAATGCTACAAGGAATAAGCTTTGAATATCCCGAGCGTAAGAATGCATTTCTTGATTTTGGCCTCAATTTCTTAAGTGCAATTTATGTCCTAATGGAAGTCACTAACCCTCAGAAAGAGAAGTGAACTCTGTTCTTAAGGCTAACAGTAAAACTATTAAAGAATTGTTCAAGAGAGAACCAAACCAGAGCTTGCTATACTTCCATAAACCAAACAAATTCACACACATCCATATTATATATTAAGTACTTGAGTTACATCATGAAAATATGCTTTTCCCCCCTCTCCCATCCTATTTTAAATTATTTAAAATTCCGTATGTTTCCCAGTGTTACAAAATGTAACACTCTATCAAAATGTCATTATGACTGCATACTTACAGCCTCAAGATATGAAACTACATCTAAGACAGGTCTAGATTATGTCTTCTTTCTTCCAGAGTTGGTTTGACTGGCTAATTTTATTTTACATTTTTCTTCCCAAATGGAAACTGCACCTCCCCAAATTCTTCCCCCTCACAGATTCAGAAAGTAAGTTAATACTTAACAGCAACTTGAATACTTATAAAAATTAGACCATTGAACTAAAAACATCTAGTTACTGTACACAGCATTGGCTAACAATAGAGATTATCTATTCAATGAATTATCTATTCTATAATATTAAGGAAGTAAGAATGGATATCGTGCACAGTAAATGAAATGTAAGACAGATTTGGGGGCGCTGGGTGGGCGAATATATAGAAGTCTTAGAAATATGATTGTATTCCAATCTCAGCAATAGACTTCCTGGTGTGACTCTGAAAAAAATCACTTAACCTCTCTAGCTCTAAGTTTCCACAGCTGTGAATTGGGGTAAATAATGATTACCTAATTTAGAGAAGTGCTGTGACATTTAATCTCTTAATATTAGTAAAGTGCTGTGAGATCCCTGTATGGAAGTTGCTAATAAGACCCAGTGTATTATAATACTGTACAATGCATGGAACACTAAAAAAAAAAATCAGTATATCCTATTGATTTTTAAATTAAATGTAATATCTATATGCAAGAAAAATGCACAGTATAGCATGAATTCACATAATCTGAAATTTCACACACATACAACCATGGAGCAGTATGTAATACAGTGTATTTATTAACACGTTTGTCCTCGTAAGATTACTGTAGTAATCACTGAGATAGTATTCATATTCATTATCAATTTTAGTTGTGATTGCAATTAACATTAACATAAGATCATTTAATACATGAGGTGATCAAGAAGAAAATCCTTAATAACAAGATAGCAACATTATAATCATTTTATTTTTTTCAACAAATAAGTTGCTTTCTTTGCTTTCTTGATTGAGAATTTAAATTGAAAGCAGCAATGGCAGAACTTTAGATATACCTGGAGGATGAAGGGATGATCACTTGCAGCCAGCATGGATTTACTTAAAAACAAATCATGCCAAACCAGCTTGATTTACTTCTTTGAGAAGGTAACAGGTTTGGTGAATAGGAAGAATGTAGTGGACATAATATACCTGGACTTTACAAGGCTTTTGACACAGTCCCACATGACATTCTCATAAGCAAGCTGCAGAAATGCGGGCTCAATAGAACTACCATTAACTGAATACATAATTGGTTAAACAAACACAAACAAAGAGTAACTATTAATGGAATGATGTCAGATTGGAAGGAGGTTTCAAGTAGGGTTCCCACAGGGATCTGTTCTGGGTCTGGTGTTATTTAACATCTTTATTAATGACCTGAATGTAGGAATAGAGAGCATACTGATCAAATTTGCACATGACACAAAGCTCTTGGGGGTTGCAAACACTTGGAGGGCAGAGCCAAAAATTAAAGTGATCTTGATAAATTGGAGAACTGGCTATAGACAACAAAATGAAATTCAACAAAGACAAATGTAAGGAGCTACACTTAGGGAAGACACACCAAATGCACAAATACAGAATGGGGGATAATTGCCTCAACAGCAGCACTGCTGAGAAGGATCTGGGAGTTGTGGTGGATCACAGCCTCAACATGAGCCAACAATGCAATGCGCTGTCGCAAAAAAAGGAAATGCAATTTTGGGTTGCATTAACAGAGACATAGAAAGTCGTAAGAGGTGATAGGACCTTTGTATTTGGCACTGGTTAGGCCTCAGCTGGAGTACTGTGTTCAATTTTGGTCACCACTGTATAGAAAGGATGTAGAGAAACTGGAAAGGACACAGAGGCGAGTGACAAAGATGATCAAAGGGATGGAATGAAAGCCATATGAGCAAAGGCTGAAGGAATTGGGTATGTTTAGTTTGGAAAAGAGGAGATTAAGGTGGGGGGACATGTTAACAGTCCTCAAATACTTGAAAGACTGCTATAAAAAAGATGGAGAAAAATTGTTCTCTCTTTCCACAGAGGGCAGGACAAGAGGCAATGGGTTCAAAATTATAGCATAGCAGATTTAGATTATACCTCAGGAAAACTTTCTAACTGTAAGAACAGTAGGACAATAGAACACACTGCCTAGGGAAGTCATGCAAGCTCCTTCACTGGAGGTTTTCAAAAAGAGCCTGGATAGCCATCTGTCTTGGATGGTGAAGACGCAACAAATCCTGCATCTTGGCAGGGAGTTAGAGTAGATGACTCTTGCAGTCCGTTCTAACCCTATGATTCTATGATATAGCGAATATCTTATTAGCATGTTTGCAAGAGATCGGTTAGTGTTTGACAACATATGACCCTGCCAATGCTGAATGTTTTTGAGGAGAATGCAACTAAAAGTTGTAAAGCTTTCTATTCTTTTCTTTTTCTTTTTTTAATGCTATTACCATCAGCCTCTCAGGTGACAGTTTTCTTGTATCATGCCTGAAAAGTGTCAGAGCCAATATTTCAGGGAACAAATGATAGTGACAAAGTTATTCGTCAGGTGCAACATCAATGTCATGAAGTTCTCTATCTGTCACAATGAGTTTTTCATTGCTCCAAGTTTAAAGATACATAGCAAAGAATAACTAGTATCTTTTGTGGTCTAGATATGAAAAATAGCAAATTTCAAAAATAATGCATTTAAAATTTTTGATAACTCTTCCTTTTCTATAACCGAATATATTGTTTCTACCCAAACAGAAAGTTACACAACATCTCAGCTGAGTGACCAACAGCTACATATCTTGACTTTGAGTCCAATCCTATGAGGTGCTGAGCATCTCATACAAAGTGCGGACATTTATGGGAGCTGTGGGCACACTCAGGACTTGCTCCACACCTCATACGTTCAGGTCCTTTACAGGTATCAGCAGAATCTAGGGAAATTGCTGCTGTAAGTATTCAGTCCTTTTGTTATTTAGAGTGCATTGTATTCACAGCAATCCTCTCTCACAGGTAATAATCAACAGAGTTTTTAAATCAGTGAGGACAGGGGAGGTTTTCAGCAAGTGAAATAAAAGAGAAGAACAGGGGAGAAAAGGGGAGTAAGAGTGATTAGCAAAAATATTAAAATTATTTGTATAATTTTGTATAATTTCATCTGCTATTTGAAGCCCATTTAGCTCTTCACCTCATCTGCAGAGTATGTAGGTGGCTCCCACCAGAATTTACACTCTATGCTGCATGGAAAAACAAGTACAATAATCTGTAAGAACTGTGGAGTCAGCACGCTCCTGTTTTGGAGGCTAAGCATATTGCCTCACGAATCAGATCTACTGTACCCACCTGAGATTTAAGACACAAAGTACATTCTTAAATACAGGGGAGTTGAAGAGGACCACAAAAAATCAGGGTAGAGCAAATGAAAATGTTAAATAATCCTCATCATTACCCCAAATTTACATTACACAAGGAATAATAGATATTTTGGCTTGTCCAGTAAAATGTGAGCAAACCGTTCAAATGGAAGCAGGTTTAAGCCTCTCACTGACACCTTTCTAACTATAACTAAAATGATATACTATATGATGTATTTCAGTATATCAGTCATGTATAGAAATACACGTGTGTATTTGCCATGACAACATGATCCAATGCAATGTTGTGCCACAATATAAAATGTTACAGACAAAATATACAAGGAAACAATCTTATTCTGGGACCCAACAGCATCTACTCCAGCTGTCTGTCACATACAAAGCATATCCTGAGATAAACAAGTGAACAATGAATTCACAGGTGTTCTTTTTCTGAAGAGCTCCCATATACAGATTCAAAATGTGACAGGTTTGGAAGAAAATTTAGGACTCTTGTCTTTGGCAAGGTAATATAATGTGCAGCTGCTTTAAAACTATAGGTGAAACAACATTTGTTGTTAAACAGCATGTCAATTTTTGCTTTATTTTGGCCTCTGCTTTGCTGTAATGTGCACTGCCTCCTTTAGAGTGCTTTCAGCATAGTGCCTTATGATAGATAATAAATTAATTGTACCAAAAATAAGATATGGAAGATATTAGATAGTTCTGTGTTTTTCCTCATCTTCGCCACTTACCCTACATTTTAATTTGGGTCACAATATCATTGAATAATACTCTAGTAATTTCATACCTCACTGGGGGTCAGATCTGAGCATGTATGACTAATTCAGAAAATGGTAAAATATAATTACTTCTATTTGTGTTAGACTCAAAGTTCAGGTCTATTTTTGACCTTGACTTTCCCTCCAACAAAATTAACATCTCTGTCAAGATACTTTTCTTGACATCAAGTATTGGGGTGAACTGCTGAACCTATATGTGACTAGCACACTGATGGGGAATGCAGAAATAGCAGTAATTTTGCTATATCCTAGGGAGTTTCAACTTTGAAAAGTAGCTCTGGTTAGTTCAGATGTCAACATTAAAAATATTTTCATTATTTTTTCCCTCCATCAGCTTTATTGAGAGTGGGATCAAGGTCTAGTTTTCAAATAATTAGAATTTCTTTAACATTTCATTATTCTTGACCCTCAAAA